CACTCTTCTCTTTGTATACATATTCTGACATCTTAACCCTTTTATGAAGGCAAACTTTAAGAGGTTTTTTTTACTCTATACTTTATGTTATATGGAAAATCCCATAATATATCACACAACAATCAATGCCACATTAATAACAATCGTTGATAGTGATGGCTATAGTTAAAATTGCTTAACAGTTTCAGCTGTAAGTCCCTTTTCCACCTTTCCAGAGATGCCAGAATCATATCTCTTTAGAGGCTAAATCACTTCTTGCTTGAATCTTACCAAAAAGAGTTTGTAAGTAAACTTCCTCCTGTTGCTTCTGAGTTACAGGGAAAAACACATCTATCCCATCATAGGAAAAATTCTATGCATTGATAATTGAACGTGGCTCTGGAAAACAGCTCCTGTTTGAAACTTGACACAGGAACAGTGGGGTTGCTCAGTTTGTAAATAATTGGTTTTGATTTAACAAAGATACGACCACTTGAAAATTGCATACTATGCATGTACAGCAGAAAAATGTCCTTAAATCTGCAGGGGTGCACTTAAACATAGATGCACTCTTCATGGGTGGACAGGTAATAAAGAGCACACTGGCTGGTTCAAGTAATTTACAACTATATGCTTGGGAAGCCATCAGAACTTGGAAGCTGTTTAACAGTTTTTATTTTCACTTTCTTCTTTTACAGAGACCTGAAACAAAAAAGAAAAAAAAATATGTCAACACATTGTTAATATTAAACAGTTCAAAGCACAAAGAGTTGGAATATGCAAAAGTTATGGATTCAACATTATTTTAGCCACATTTTTGCATCCCTGATAATGAGTCTTTAACTTTTGAATGTCTTGTGTTTCTGTGGTTCAGACTGGCAACCTCAACGTGGAGTGAACAAACATAAGTGAGTTGGCATTTGTCTGGAGGGAACCATTGACGTTCAAATTCCAATAGATAATTAATGTAAATGCATAAAATGTATATATCTATTTTGTCATTCAGGAGTTACAGCACATTTCCTGTAAGCACCCAAAATAACAAATTAAAGCATGGCACTGGGGTGGGGGGCGTCTAGTCAGAGTGTCAGCAATTAGGAGTTTTGGACAGGGCACATATACCAAAAAAGCATTGGAAATTATACATTTAGGTTAGGGACAGAAATTACAGGTAAATCAGTATAAGCAATCAGAAACTAATACAAATCCATAGCACTTCAAAAGTTCAGTGCATATTCACTGCTTTCAAAATAACTGAAACCAGATTAATATAAATCTGGATGGATGTAGTATCAGATATAAGTGACTTAGGTTAAATTGCTTTATTGAACTTCTGTCCCAGATCCCCTCCAGATTCAAGTTAACTCACAGTTTCACAGCATCCCAGGATGCTTTACACTTCCCCCAAACTTCCACCCCCATTGTAAGATGCTGCTCCAGCGGAGCAGGAAGGTATGTTCTAGTGCCCCCAACTTCTGACCAGGGCTACTGCAGGCATGTGGCTGCATTTCCAGAATCAAAAGTGAATGTCTGTTCACTTGCTTATCAGTTCAATCTATGCAGCTAAGATTAACCTGCAAAGATTGAATTGATCCAGCCTCAGGCTTTTTGAGAGTTTGTACTGAACCTTAAGAGAGCTTTACTTAGGGCTCAATCCATCCCAAAACACTTGCAATCTCTGTGCTTCATAAGACTATAGCTCCTGATTTCCCAGCAGGCTGACCCCATTCCTCACAAAGGTTTGCTTCCTGCAAAAACCACAGAGAGGAGAGGGAATAAAAGCTTTACTATAGATCATTACAGATGGGTCCAGGAAAAAATAGAAAATACCTAAATGAGCTCTCCCCGCTTCCTGAGTTCCACTACTATTTATTTGTGCTCTCTTCCCCCCCCCCCTCCCGTTTCATGGCTGTCTGAGAAAACTGGATTGTCTCCAGCCCTGGACAGGTGGCTGGGAAAGATTTTTTTGGTTAATTACCTCAGGCTGCTGGGAAAGATGTGCTGCTGCCCCTCTTCTGCATTGTGCTGCCTTAGGTTGGTGATTCAATGCAGCAGTACTGCACTGATATTTGGCCAGCCTGATATACCTGCCCACAGGTCAGGGTTATAGATATGGATATTTTGAGGAGTTGATAGATTGCAATAAGTTTTGGGGGGAAAACAAAATGGCATATTGTCTGCTTGAAAAAAAGTGAGGAGAGTCATGCCTAAAGAGGGACATCTGGCATGTATAGCAGGTAAGTTTGCTGCCTCACATATGGGGTTTCACAAAGTGTTTGTAATTCATGCATTGACCTAATATCCCCCTGAACAGATTAAGAGAAGGGGAGAAACTGAGGGACCTTGTGTCCTCATTCACTGTGGGCTCCCAAGTAATCATTAACATTTGTATATGATTGGTCATGCCTGTACAGTAGACTCTCTGACATCCACACTGAATACCTACATTAAATACAGCTATGAAAGCAAGAGCACCTAAGGCTAGATACTGGCAGTTGATAGAAATTAAGAAAACGAAGTACCTCTGCAAAGCGCATATTTCTCTGGAGTCACAGCTATTTTGCTGTCCAAGTGTTAGTCTAGCCCTTCATATTGTGGCATCCTTGATCTCATCCAAATTCAAACTCCATTATTTTTAATGCACTGTTTTCTGCAGGGAATACCACACCAAAGTCAATTTTGTACCACTAACAACAGAAAAAGAGAGATGTTGTGCTATCAGCACTGCCAAAAATGCAACCTCATGTAATTTCTATAAAGAATAGCATGAGAGATGACTCAACTTGTGTATTTCTCAGAGTAAATAATGTGCTAGTTTGCTACATCCACACTATTGTAAAAGCAAGCACAAAGATGCCAAGCCTATGAGCCCTGAAATATTTTCCAGAAGACAGGATCCTATGTCCCTGCCCAAGCATATTCATGGCACTGTGTGCAGAATTTACACACAATTTGCTGTAAATATCTGTGGTGACTTATCTACACGTACAAGTGGCCAGATCTGCATTCAAACTGCTGGTGGTAACAGTGGACATATTCTGTCTTTTCAGTGGTTTCTGTTATACTTTGTTTCCATATGAACAGATTCCTTGGCCCAGCTCAGGCCGCAGCTGCACATGCATCTCTGTGCTCACCCTTTTGTAAATCTATCCTTACTGTCCTGGCTAGAATCCATGTAGTCTTGCAAATAATTTACTATGAAAGAAATTTCTAGCAATGCACTGATTCTGCCTGTTGGACCCATCACAAACTTCAGCAGAGGTTAAGAATAGTAATCAGTATTTATTGCAGTATCCATGGGTACTTTCTAACATAAATCAAATTAATAGATTGCAGTTTCTCAGATCTTACTTGCAAAAAAAATTTTTTTCTCAACAAATAATTTCTTACTTTGATTTTCAAAATGCAATTTGGGAAAGTTTGAGTGAGAATCCAGTCCCCCGCTCTTAAAGTATCAACAATTTCTATTAAACAGCAGAAAAGTAAGGCAGGTATTAGAAAATCCCGCAAAGAGTAATTGTTAAATGCAACATTTTGTCTCTCGGCTTTTGAAATCTGGGCCACTTGACAATCTCAGAGTCACATCCCAACATGTTTCAGTAGTAGGACTGCTACTACTGAAAAGTAGGAACACTCTTGTGATAAAACACACTAAGAAGAAAGTCCAGTCAACTAAGGTACATGAAGTCATTACAACTATTAAAAACATTTATCGAGCACTAAAGTAGAGACTTTGATTTGGAGGAATACCAAGGCTGCAAGCATCCCCCTGCAGTCTCTTTCATCAGTTCCATCATTCTCAACATGAGGCCTTTCTCATCTGAACCCACTATCTGCTCCTTCCTGCTCCTCCTTCATTCCCTGTTCAATCCAGTATGCAGAGAGAAGTTCAAGATGTGGGCTAATGGAACTGGCATGGGATGCAGTTTAATATTGCATGTGCTTAACTTTTTGTGCAACTGACCAATGTGACATGTCTAACTGTATAAATGGAAGTTTTACGGTGATAAGATCAGTAGTTACTGAGATATTTATGTGACATGCTGACAGATATAAAACTACAAAGCTTGCTTTTATGCCTTACATCCTCCTGAAAAAAAAATATAAATACTAAGATGATGGGTCACTTTGAAGATAATTTATTATCTAAATTAACTAATACCTGGCTACATCCTAATATGCAAGATGAGGTCTCAAAACTGCTATTAAAACTATGAACTTAATTTCAGAGTATTCTTGTGTTCTGTGCCAAATGAGGCACAGTACAGCCAGAATAATGCTAGTCTCAGTCTCTCTCATGGTGATTGTGGTGCTGTCATCCAACCAAAGAGAATGATGACACAAAACAGACAAAAGTCACAAGATCATCTCTCTTCAATTTTTACACTCTGTAGGGTTAGGTCTCCTAGGGAGGTTCTCATCTCTGTTGGGAAGGGGGAGGAGGATTACTCTTGGAGAACAGAAGGTCAAGATCTTTTCTTTTAATATCTGTGGATGAAGTGGAGGCCCTTTTCTCATTTATTTTGATCTGGGAAAAACCAACCCCAGAAATTCTTACAGAACAAGATTATAATGTTTCCTGCTGCTGGCAAACAGCTCCCCTCCAGCTGTGCCAACAGCTGAAGTTAAAAGCCTGCTCTACCTCCTTCTCTATTTGATGTGAATGTTACTTTACACGCTGGGAAGGCAGGGCAGACTCAGCAGTCAGTAAAAGAGAAGGGGGAACAGCCTGGTGGAAGCACAGGAAAAAAAAATGAGACTACTGCAGAAATGTGAGGCTGAGGAGAGAAGGAAAGATGAGCTGCATTTTATAAGAAACACTCAGGCAACCAGTGTGTAGGAAATACTGATCCTGGAAGCAAGATACCTTGGGAGGAAAAAGAAATCCTCAGCAGAGCAGGATAATCTTAAAGTTGCTCAATGGCTTCTTGGTGTTCAGTGGGGCACAAACCTTCCCACAAGGCCAGGCACACGCTCACACAGTTTCCAACCCCTTCCAGCCATGCCTACAGACACGTATACAACACCAGGAATAACATTCTCAGTACCTTGCCAGATACAGATATGCATACACACATGTATGCACGCAATGCCCTGCCACAGATAATTTCCTCATTGTGGATAAGCACACCTACAGGTCCTCCATGAACAACCCCATCACCATCTCCCCAGATACATATAGTCCCTATAAGGAACAGTGACTCTTCCAATTCTCAGTTCTGTGAAAACTTCAGATCCACACTTACCACAATGTAAGACGCTACTTGCACTCTGTGTTGACTGTTCCAGACAAACATGTCATCACTACTAAGGATACATGCAGATGTTACACTTCGATTGACCTAACTAATGTTAGGTTGATCTAAGTGCTAAACTGTACATATGCTCTGGGAGTTTACATTGGGCAAAAAATGGCCAGCTCAGTCTATCCTAGTTCATCTAAGGAGCTGCAGTATGAATATTGGGCTATCTTGTGCCCAATCTAACCCAAAGTGTACTTTTTTGGAGTGCAGCCCCTGGGCTGGGAAAACCCAGCCCTGGAGCTGCATTTTTCCTATTGCCCTTCACCCTGATCACCCTGATGAGGCTAGTTTTAGCCTTCTGAGCATCCCCACTCCCAGAGAGATAACTCCCCATGGACTCACAAACCTTCCTGATCCCATCAAACCCTCCCCACACCACCAACCCTCCCAATCTGACCTATCCCTTCATTCACCCCAATTTACTTAGATGGCATCCCCAGCTCCCAGCCCCAGCAAATGGCTACATAAGTGAAGAACTGATCTACCATCATGTGGCTTAACGTAAGCTGCATGATTGTAGATCAGGTCCTGGAAATGTCTGCATGTGCCTTAAGAACTATTCTCC